TTCCTCAATTGCTGTTCAAACATTCAAAATGTTGATGTACAGACCAGAGATGTGGCTCATCCTGCATGCATGAAGCCCTGGCTTACGCCAGCACCAATCACACCTGTAATTACAGCATTTATGAGGTGGAGGAAAAGAATCAGAAATTCGAGGTCACCGTTGGCTACATAGTAAAATAAAGATCCTTCTAGGATACACAATAATAAAATGTAGGAAATAACTGACCTAAGCAGCAATCATCAGTGACTGCTATCAGAAGTTTACAGAAGTTGTATAGCATATGGAACCCAGCATTATCACCAAGGGGGAGGCAGGAGTCAGACACTATGTACTCTTTGATCTGATGCATGAAAAGGCATAAGGAGAGAAATGTATTTTTTCAAACAATCCTCTAGGGCAGTAGTTCTCAACCTGTGCGTCTACCCTGTGAGATTCAGATGACCCTTTCACAGGGATCACCTAAGCGCATCTTCATATCAGATATGCACATTATTATTCTTAACAGTATCAAGCACTTACATTATGACTAGAGTCACAACATCAGGAACTGTATTAAAGGGTTGCAGCATTAGGAAGGTTGAGAAGCACTGCTCTAAGGCTTAACTACAACTACTATGAAACAGAAAGGAACCAGTTTAACAATACAATGATTCAGCCACATGGGGTGAGGGTGAAACTCACACAATATGAGAAAAGCTACAGTGTATTCAAAAATAAATTATAATCAGGAAGAAAAGGACAGAAATAGAACTAAATACAGATTAAAATTAACTAAGATTAAATATAGTATTTTACATATTTGTGTGCCTGTGTGATAGAGGTATAAAAGTGTGTGTGTGTGTGTGTGTGTGTGTGTGTGTGTGTGTGCGCGCGCGCGCGCGCACATTTGCATGTGCAGGTTCCTTCAGAAGCCAGAGGAGGGCATCAGGTCCCCTGGAGCTGGAATTACAGTAGGTTTGAGGAACTCTAGTCCTCTGAAAAATAACAAGCACTCTTAAATTGCTGAAACTCTCTCTTCAGCACCTTTTGTTTGGATCTTGATCCAGATAAACCAGCAATAGAAAAATCAAGCCTCTGTAAGACAGGGTGGTAATTTAAATGAGAATGGTCCCCCCTCCCCGACTGGCTCATATTTTTGAAGACTTGGTCTCCAGACGGTAGAACTGTTTGGCAAGGATTAAAAAGTATGGCCTTGTTAGAAAAGGTATGTCACTGGGGATGGGCTCTGAGGCTTCATAAACTCATGTCACTTTTGCGTTAGCATTTGTTCATGCACACTCTCTTCTTTCCCTCCTCCTCAACTCCTCCCTTTATCTCTCCCTCTTCTTTCTTCTCTCCCTCTCTCCTTCCCCTTCTCCCTCCTACCTCCTCTTCTGGCCTCTGCAGGCACCTGTGCATAAGCAAATACACATACACACACAAAACACACACACACTCACTCACTCACTCACTCACTCACATACTTTTCTCCCCTCCTTCCTCTCTCTTTCTCTGCCTCATGCTTATGGATCAGTCAAAAGCTCTTAGCTACTGCTCCAGTACCATGCCTGCCTGCTGTCATGCTCCCTACCATGATGATCATGGACTCTAATCTTGGGATCTGTGAGCTCCAAATTAAACGCTTTCTTTTATAAGTTGCCTTGGTCATGGTATCTTATCACAGTAAGTAACTAAAGTAACTAAAACAATGGGAAAATGAACATACTAATTGAATATTTAATTATTCTTATTCTAATGAATTGCTAATTTTCCATGACAATGTCTCTTAAAGATATATATAAAGGCATATTTATATACACCTATGACCAAAACTAATATAATATATAAACTGTTTGAAAATAGCCTCAGAGCATTAAATATCCTCATACACTAAGATACTGTCGCTATAGTGTCCCATTAAGCCATACCTGTCGGTACTAAAGATCTATTTCTAAAGTATTTTATTAGCATATACCAAGTAGACATTTTTAATTTTTAAATAATGTTTTTATTAATTCTTTGAGACTTTCATACAATGTATTTTGATCATGTTGGTCCCCTCCCCCTGCTCTCCTCCCTGATTCACCTCCTTGCTCATTCAATTCTGGTTTTCTTTCTCTCTTTTTTAAAACCATCAAGTCAAAAAATTAAGATCAAATAAATAAATAAATAAAACCATCAAGTCCCGTGTGTACCCACCAACGAATAGTGGCTGTGGCACCTGCCTTGGACTACAGTAAATATGCCATGGGTGACACCACTGAAGAAAACTGTCTTACCCAGGAGCCATCAAAAGCCACTAGTTTTTCAGCGAGGGAAGGAACTCATGCCCATCTCCATGCTGGAATTGTATCTGGCTTGAGCTTCTTCAGTCCTTATGCATACTGACACAACCACTGTGAGTTCAGATGTGCAGCTGCCCAGTGTATCTAATTATACACATAGAATTTTACTATGACAGTTCATGCATATTCACCAGTTAACTAAACATCTTTTAAGGTAGCAAAATAGTAACACTGATATTTTATTATGACTTAGTACTAAGGAGATGACAAGAAGAAAGTACATATGAAGAATGTATAAAATCTGTACAATGTAAAATATTAGCAAGTATCAGTAATATAAAGAGCTGTTACATTTGAGGCCAGCCACCAGTTTCCAGGTCACAACAGACAAGGGCAAATAACATTTCAGATGTCACATGTAAAGAATAAAACACTGTTTAATAGAGATATAATTCAGATCATATCACTTAATTCCCCATGGAATGCCTTCTGGTTCAAAAACAGCATAACAGGAAAAAAGTAATATATAAAATAACTGTGAATCACTTATAAATTATAAGCTCATATTTGGCATACAGGCATATATAGTGTCATGTAAAGAAGGAACATGTCAGGAGTTATTCAATACATATTTTCTAATTTGGCAGACATGTTTTAGAATTTGGTATTCCTGAACAAACCAAACTACAGCAAATTCTGAAACAACATTCTACTACACATGGTTACTTGCTAGCTGAATCTTTTTTAAAAAGTTGCCAGGGCCAGTGAGATGGCTCAGCAGATAGAGGTGCTTACCATCAAGCACGGCATCCTGAACTGTATTCCCAGAGCACACATAGTGGAAGTAGAAATCTGACTCCTACGTTGTACTCTGTCCTGGATATGTGGGCTGTGGTACTAAAGTAACTCCCTCCCACCCCCCCCACACACACGTGCACTATATAAATAAATAAATGTATTTTTTTTTATTTTAATAAATAAAGAAAACAGAAATAGCCAACAAGAACAGCAAGTTCCAACATGCATAGCAGCCTGAATATCAGCTGCTGCTCTCTGAAATATTCCAGCAGCAGAGGACTCTACCTCTATCCCAAGAGACCAAATTTTTTAAAAGGAACATCATGTACCATGTCCTTAGGTACAACAGTGAAAGTAATTAGATGGGGGGAAAAAAAAGAAAGGCAAGATTTGCTAGGCAGAGAGCTAGGTATTAAATACCAGTTGCTTATAAACAAAAGAGTTACCTGAGACCTACGCAAGGAGAGGCAGAAACCCCCTTTTCCTGATTTCTGGCCCTGTGCTCTTACACTACACAGCACTAGCTTCTCCTTCAATGTCTTAATGAGACAACTGTTGAAACAACTTGCCTTTATTAAAAGCCATGGGCAGGAGACCAGACATGAACACCCTAGGACACCACTAAACCTTGAGGTGAACTCACCACCCTAGCTACGCATTAAAAAGACCCTCTCACTCTCGACCTAACAAGCTTTGCTTTTGTTGTTGCAGTTGTTTGTTTTTAAGTACCATGTGGCTATGTACCCTAGGCTGGTCTTACAGTCACCATATACCCAAGCTGTCACCACACCACACGCCTTTCAAGAGAGAAAAGTGTCTAAAACTCAACCCTACCTGTGTTCCTTTTACAAATACCAAAGCTTACATTAGTTGTTTTTCTCTACAGATTTTGTTCCATGCTTGGTTTTCATTTTCTGATACCAAGGTACTCTGACACTGCTTACTGCCATCAATCTAAGGATACGACCTGTAAAATGACTCGTTCAAGTCCACTTCATAAGGTAAACACCCTTGCTCTGAAGTCTACACTTCACATCAAGATCAGCACCAATGACTATCAGTTCTGAGAGAAGTATATCAAACATCAGTTAAATGTATGATTTCCTGTTTAGAAACTTTAAAAAAATCTTACTAAAATATAATTACATTCTTGCCTTCCTTTCTTTTCCCCACCCCAACCCCTTTTCTTCCATCTCCCTGACAAATTAATGGCCTCTTTTTCTTTGGAGATTATATGAATATATATTTTTTCATCAAATCAAAGTATAAATATGTATATTATATAATACATAAATATATAAATACAACTTGCTGAGTCAATTTAGTACTGCATGTGTATATACAATTTTGGGCTGACCACTTGATATTAAATGACTAATTTTCATGTACCCTTTTATGCTTAAAAAACTGTCTATACTCTAATACAATATAAACTTTCATCAAATCAAAAAGACTAAGTAAATTTTGTCAAATGTTTTTACATATAGACATAATACCATACCATGTAAGACATATATCCTCTAAAGTCATCTGAAATGTTACTGTTTTTCTGTATTTCATACTCTTAACCATATGCAATTTTTAAAATAACCTAAAAAACATCCAACAGAAATGAAACTAATGCAAGCTCAAAGTACCACAACACTGATGAGTAAGTCTCTACAGCTTTTCTCTTAAGATCTGCTGCAGAAATTTTTAAAGAATAAAAAGATACCTGTGAAAGAGCACTGTACTGTGAACGTGCTACATTTCAGAACACAAATGACGTTACTATGCATTCCTGAGCTAAGAAGTGTGTGACAGATAGGTAAAAGCAAGCAAACAATAACTTCAAAAGTACTTCATTTGTGAATTCAGTTATTCATTCTGTCAACCATTATCTTACAAACCATCAACACACGGGAAGAGCAACTGCCTAAAAATCACTGAAAAACTTACCATCATTTTGGCCCTTGCTCTTCATCTCCTCCTTCCAGGATAGAATGGTGCTCAGAGGAACATAGTCCCTTAAGTATTCTTTGCGTCTCTCCTCTAAGGTCATCTTCAGCAAACGTTCTTGCAAAATAAAAGCAGAACCTCCATTTGTATTTAAACTTTAATCTTGGGAATTACCGAATACATTTATGAATATACTCATCTACACTAACCAAAGACTTAAGGAGTACCCAAATGCTAGCAAATGATTTCATATTTGAGGGCTAAAGGGGGTCAAATTAATTCCACAGGAGCAAGAAACAAACTCAACGCCGGTCGAGACAACGCTGCTAAGGCAGCTCAGGAAACAAGTCAAGTCATTTACTCTTCCCATCAGCATCTACTAACACAGAGTATGTGACAGTGTACATTTACAGAACTCAGGAATCACAATTCTTCAGTTCACAGGGCAAAAGAGCAAATAGATACGATACAAAATAGTATCAAGTCAATAAAACGCAGACTGCTGAAACAGGTGTGCCCAAACAGCAGGAGCACAAGAAACATATCTTCAAAGCTGTTTCCTCAATTTCACACAGCCATCAACAATGACACTGTACTCTCAGTTCTGTAACAGCACTGTGGTGGTGGAGTATACACACTTTAAACGCACACCTTAATTTAAGATAAAAATATAAAACAGCATCTTACACTTGCAGATGCCATTTATAAAGAGCTCACTGGGTACTAAGTACTCCTGGTGTTTGTATCACTAAAATAATTTTTATAATAAGACATTACTAATGAAGCATAGTTTAGATTCTTCCCATGAATAGGTAAAAAGTAAGGACATTTCAACAAATAGAACAATAATAAAAACAAGGAAATATAAATAGCTTAATAAAACTGTAAGGTGTTATCTAGAGAGGAAGGACCACAGAAGTGAAAAGCAGACAAATTTAAAGTAAATCTGTGCAGGGACTTGTACAGCACGCTGTGTGGTTCATCTTCCTTCTATGAAGAAAACCATAAACTTAAAGGTGATTGTGAATATTTTGGTATGTGCACAAGATGATCCACTAGGAAGCAGAAAATAATGTAAGTCTATTTATTTTTAAGCAAAGATATAAAATTTTAGTCCTAAGAAGATGAGAGGATAGAAAACAGTAAAGAATAAAAAAAAAATGTTGAATTTGACAACAGGTTTAAGGGAGAACAATAAAATAAAATCTAGTTGTCAGCAAGGTTATGAATTCCAAGTGATATAGGGAAAGAACTTTAATAATATGAGGAAAAAACTATCAAGTTCTACAGGAAAGTAAGAGAAAATAATATTTTACAAAGCCACTCTCTTATCAAGTAGGTGACTAACAGCACTGAAAACACAGTAGTGGTTAATAATCTGGACTATAACCTAAATCATTACATAAGTCTGTATGGTCTTTGACCCGTCACTTCATCTCTTTAGGTTTCAATTTCTTTGGGAGATAACTAGATAGGTATTATCCCCAACTGCTAGGCAACTAAGTAAAAAAGTCAAATGACTCGTGTAATGTCCCAGAGCTTGTAGAACAGTACTAACCAGGATCGAAATGGGACAGCTGCATTTAAAGCTTGACCCTACATCACTTCATACAATTTTCTGCTTCATGAGTGGTGAAAGTGAAATGACATAAGGCATCTAAGGCATTAAAAACAGCACAGCACAAAACAGGGCTTCAGTAACCCTCCCCTTAGTATGTTCATCATCACTACTGAATGACTTTAGAAATACTAGTCTCATTAAAATATAACTGAAATCCATGAGACTTATGACATATTGGACAAAAAGAAAGTGAGGCCTGATATAGAGGGCCACACCTGTAATCCCAGATTTTGGGGGTTAAAGCAAGAGTACTGCCACACATTCAGGGCCAACCTGGGGTTACAGAATGAGTTCTAGGCCAGCCTAAGCTACACAGAATTAAACCCTTTCTTAAAAAGGAGGGGAGGGAGGAAGGGTGGCAGAGAGGACAATAAGCACTGTTACAGACAGTAAAGATGAAGATGGTGAGAAATTAAACACAACCAAGAATAAATAAATGACAGCACAAGATCTCAAGGACTATAAGCAACTGAAGAAAGAACACAAACACAGGGTTAATCCTCTAAACACAGAAGAAAAGAGCTTCCTCTAAAATTGGGGGGGAAACCTAAATTATACATAGAGAAACAATCCAATGACACCAGGACACCATACCACTGTACTGTAAAACTTTCTTTCTCCATAAATTAACAAGTCAGTGACACCTGTTCACTACGGACTAATAGGTACAACAGGAACGTTGGAAGAAATCAGAAATTTGGAATTAGCTCACAAAGCAGAAAAGGGGGCTGACCCTCAGTGGCTACAGCACTGCTTTAAAAGCTCAGATCACAGATGCAAGATCATTACAGCTAGACATCAGGCTGAGGGACACTATGAAGCAACTGTTTATGTAAATGTCAGAAGTTATAGACAGAAATAAAACTGTCTTTCTATTTATTTGGAAGTAAATGCATACTTAGAACAAAACACCAAATGTAATACAATATAAACAAAGAGATAAATTTCAATGCTTGAAATGAAAATACACATTAAATGATTTTAAATTAGGGCTCAAAGTAGTAGAACAATATTTACTAAACATATATGTGCTTTAAGAACTCAGTTATTTAAGCAATGAAACATACAAAAGGCATACACATGGTTTCTCAGGCATTACCAAAAACGTTCTACCCTGCTTCACCTTTACAATGAATCCTTTCTCTGCAAACCAAGTCTATTAACAGTTCTCTTTACTATACGCCGTACTGCATTAAAATATGTTTCTAAAATGCCTTGACATTTCAATGAACTGGGTAAGCCTTCATCTAGATTTCAATAACAGCTGCAAAAGTACTAAGCCATCAACTCTCCAGTGGGATGAAAGCGAAAGGTCACGCATCCCACTGGCTTCTTTATTGTACGAGAAATCCTGAGCTTTCTGGCCAATAACATGATATTTCTCACTTTTACTATTCCAGAAACAGACACCCTCAGAAGACAGATACAAAGCATTCACTTCATAATATTTGCCTTTAACTTTAACCTTCAAACAAACAAAAAAAAAAATTGTTTGGGATGAAAGAAAATAATTTTACTAAAAAAGCTTCCCTTGTGCATTTGCTTCTTTATTTAAAAAAAGAAATACTTTGTTAAGGGAGCATGCATGGGACTGACCTCGGCCCTCTACACATGGGTAACAGTTGTGTAGCTGGGTCTTCATGTGGGACTCCTAAGAGTGGGAGCAGGGCTGTCTCTGACTCTGTCACCTGCCTTTGGGACCCTTTCCCTCTCTTGGGCTCCCTCTTCTAGCCTCAACAGAAGATGTACCTAGACCTACTGCAATCTGATCTGCCAGGGCAGGTTGATATCCATGGGAGGCCTCCACTTTTCCGAGGAGAAACGGAGGAGGAGGGGATGAGTGGGAAGGTGGGAAAGAAAGACTGGGAGGAGAGGAGGAAGGGAGAACTGTCATCCGGAGGTAAAGTAAATTAGTTAATTAAAAAATAGTTGCTTATATTTTCCCTATAGAGAAAAGGCAAAAAGATATTAAATAAAGATTCTGAAATGTCTGCTCATCACACGTGTATAGATGTTACATGAGGAGCTGTTTTTCTAATGTGACATAAAAAGTTCTTAGGTATTCACTATAATTTCAATGATCCATGTTACTGAGAACAATGTAAATGATTTTACACTATTTTGTCTTTTTTTTTTAATCAACTATGGAAAGCGAACATTTCAAGATCATCAAGAGAGATGGTGATTTTCCAATGCTCAGAGAAGTGAGCTCAAGGGAGAGTGCGACTCTAAGAGCACAGCACGAATAAACCCCACACGACTTCACATGGCTTCTTCCTGAAAACTGTTGAGTTTTTCTGGGCGTAAGAGACTTACTGAGGGTTCCAGGCGTGTTCTACCAGGCCCGATGGGGCCAGCCCTGTCATGGGGCTCTCCTCAACACCATTTATTTTGTGACCTTAAGTTTTAGTTCTCTTAACACTCACGTTCACTGAAACAACGACACTAAGGCAAATCTTTCAATATTTAAAGGCCACTCCAGCCACTCTGTTCGGTCACATTCATTCTTCCCTCCTCACAGTTTTTTCGTGCATTTTTTAAATCAGGCACTATTTAGAGAATTCTAATTCTCACTCTTAAGACTACAGTTTGGTCAAAAGGTTCAAAAAGGGCAGGGACTTGCACTAAAAATCTTCAACAAGTAATCGGCAAGAAAATCAACTTTCAACCTAGTCACGCCTTGATGTCCCTATTCTGTAGGAATGCAGAGATCTGTACACCCTTGCTCAACTTCATCCTTTATACACGAATTTGGTGCAAACTGCAGTAGCAAAGCAATGGTTTTTCTGTACAAAAGAGGTAAAACGAAGAAGAGAAATATTCCAGGGACCCGGGCGCTGCTACATGAAAATACGCCCCGTGAAGCCGAGCCGGGGCAGGCAGGAGGAGGGACGGAACCGAGCCGCACAGTTCTGCTCCCCGAAGGAACCGGCGCCACCGTCAGTCCAGCGGCTCGGGCTGAGCCGGCGTGCACACAAC